TTGCTTTTGTATGTGTCATGAAAAGTTTTTGTACCTTTTGCTGAGCAAGTGATTAGACAGCTGTGACTGTTTATACGGAAACATGAGATGTGACAACGAGGAGCAAGAAGGGCATTCAGGAAGTCGCTTAGCCACTGGTTCCTGAGAAGGTATATGAAGATCAAGAATCACTCCATACCTAGCACATTTCTTACACTCTTAAAAAAAAACTTTCCTTAAGTTTCTGTTATTAAGATGCAGGATAGTTGTTTAGATGGACCTCTGATATGACTTGGAGTAGCCATTCATTTGTCCTTATTCTGTAAAATGCTATGCTCAGGAGATCATGTGGCATGGGTAAGTGTGTTGAAGTAACATGGTTTTGTGTCTTCAATATCGTTGTATTGTATTTTTCCCCGGAGGGGCCATGCTAACACTACTAGAGTCTGCAGGAATAGATGGCTAACCTCCTACAGTGTTTTTGAAAACTGCGTAAAGACTATTTGCATCTTCAGGCATATAATTCCTTTGAAGATCTGGCTCTTGAACTCCAGAGCAGATATGCTTTTCTGGCTATTGGCCTAAATGCAACTGGAACATTTACAAACAGGTCTTCTGAAAAACAAGAAAAAGAAAAAAACCACACACATTTAGCTTTAATTCCCTCGTACATCTGAATGAACAGAGCAATCAAGAGATTCAGGTCTTTGGCCAACACCTTAGAAGGTAATTATTCAATTATTTTATGCATGTTTGCTTCATTGATTAATGATTCTAGTGGCTGGTGAACTGGATTCTGTTCTGTTTTGACAGAAAAGGAAACTTTTTGTTTCATCTATGGTAATTTCAGGCTGCTTGGTGTTTAAATGCCAAGACTGTAGATACAAGACTGTTGTGGTGGAGGTTCTCTAGTACAGCTCTTTATCAGATCTTTGTTACTCACCTGCAATAAAATAAGCCCTGTTTTCCAGATGAGAACAACTAACTCAGCCCAAGGGCTCTAGTATTTCTAACAGTGCAGATGTATTTAATTCTGTTGGGGGTGATAACAGAAAACTGAAGAAATGGTTTCGGCACTGGTGACTGTTACCGGTTGGATAGTACAGAAGACAGAATGTACTGGGGCTTAGGGTTTAAGGTTTGAGAAAGAAAGGTAACATGCTCTCTCCCCTCTCAATGCCTGCTAACGTGTCCTGGTCCTGCCTTAGATGTAGTAACAAAGTGATTATTTGTGCCAGACCCTACTACTTACCATGAGCAGACCCCTTCACAATCCACATGCCTCCCAAAACCACACACGTGAGCTCTGGCATATGGGATGGGTTTGCTCAGGTGGGTTTCTTAGCAGGCTGGATTTCAACGTTGTGTCCTTTTAGCTATTTTACACAACTGCCTGATGTTTCATTATTCAGTTACCTTCCTTTTGGGAAGAAGCAATCTTGCTGCTATTTAATTACTTCAGGAAACCCTGTGGTTCACTAATGTGAGCATAGTTCCCTTGTATTCTCAGTGCAGGCATACATGCCTCTAACCACTTAATGGCATGCACACATGCAGGCACTCCAGTTCAGGGAGATCTGTGGTTGGCATATCCCCGCAGAGACAGGCATTCCCGTGGGATCTGCAGGAGAGGTGGTGGAAAAATACTAGCTTCCTCTTAGAAATAATTTAGAGGGGACAGAGAAGGAGATTGAGGGGATTTTCATCAAAAATTACTCACAGACTTCTTCCAGGGTTGTTTTTTTTTTTTAAACCAGAATGAAAACAACCTTCTGTGCCCACTCAAGAGATTTAAGAATGAAAGCACCCATTTTCTTGGTAAAATAATTGCTTTCAGTAAAAAACCTAAGTGTAGAAACATGATTTTATTTCAATTATTTATGAATGTATTATTTACTTTATTCTGGCATCCAAGACTGAAAGTTTGTGTAGCAGTGCAGGTCTGTTACAGCTGACCTGAGTTAATCTGTGCATATTTTGGGATGGAGGCAAGGAAGGTTGTAGATTTGGTTCCAGACATAGTGAGGTAGGAACAAAGGCAAAAAGCAAAGTAGAACCATACTTAGTCTACACGTCATCTTGTAGACTTTACGTGATCTAGTAGAACCTGCAGGACAGGAGAGGTGCCCGAGGACTGGAGAAAAGCCAATGTCACTCCAATCTTCAAAAAAGGCAAGAAGGAGGACCCAGGGAACTACAGGCCAGTCAGCCTTACCTCCATCCCAGGAAAGATAATGGAGCAGCTCATTCTAGAGGTCATCATCAAGCAAGTGGAGGAAAAGAAAGTTATCAGGAGTAGTCACCATGGATACACCAAGGGGAAATCATGCTTGACCAATCTGATAGCTTTCTACGATGGCATGACTGGCTGGGTAGATGAAGGGAGAGCCGTGGATGTTGTCTACCTCGACTTCAGCAAGGCTTTCGACACGGTCTCCCATAACATCCTCCTAGGGAAGTTCAGGACGTGTGGGCTAGATGACTGGACAGTGAGGTGGATTGAGAACTGGCTGAATGGTAGAGCTCAGAGGGTTGTCATCAGCAGCATGGAGTCTAGTTGGAGGCCTGTAACTTCTGATGTCCCCCAGGGGTCAGTACTGGGCCCTGTCTTGTTTAACTTCTTCATCAATGACCTGGATGAAGAGTTAGAATGTACCCTCAGCAAGTTTGCTGATGACACCAAACTGGGAGGTGTGGTGGATACACCAGCAGGCTGTGCTGCCATTCATAAGAAGAGTGTGGCCAGCAGGTCAAGGGAGGTTCTCCTCCCGCTCTACTAAGCTCTAGTGAGGCCACATCTGGAGTACTGCATCCAGTTCTGGGCTCCCCAGTTCAAGAAATATGAGGAGCTCCTGGAGGGAGTCCAGTGGAGGACTACGAGGATGATGAGGGGACTGGAGCATCTCTCCTATGAGGAGAGGCTGAGGGAGCTGGTCTTGTTTAGCCTGAAGAAGAGAAGCCTGAGAGGGGATCTTATAAACGCTTATAAATATCTCAAGGGTGGGTGTCAGGAGGATGGGGCCAGACTCTTTTCAGTAGTGCCCAGCAACAGGACAAGGGGCAATGGACACAAACAGAAGCATAAGAAGTTCCGTCTGAACATGAGGAAGAACTTCTTCCCTCTGAGGGTGACGGAGCACTGGAACAGACTGCCCAGGGAGGTTGTGGAGTCTCCTTCTCTGGAGATATTCAAGACCTGCCTGGACAAGGTCCTGTGCAGCCTGCTGTAGGTGACCCTGCTTCGGCAGGAGGGTTGGACTAGATGACCCACAGAGGTCCCTTCCAACCCCGAACATTCTGTGATTCTGTGATTTCTGGGTCATTTTTGCATGCACAAAAAATAATACAGGACCCCTGTTCTTATGAAGTTAGGTAGAGGTAAGATCACTGAGATCTTAAGAGAAAAAAGAGATTTTGGGATACTTCTCATAGTTCTCTCAAGAACATTGCACTAGATTTCTGAACCAGCAAACTTCTCCTGTTACGTAAATACCTCTCAGATCTAACCCCTCTGTATGCAGCCCTCTGGTCCTTGAAGCTTCAGATGGACTCAGCTTGGAAAATTTTACACTCATTTCTGGATCATATGTAGTTCAGGACTGTGTTGATTTACAGTGGGGCTCAGCAGTGAGCAGTTTTCTTAGAATGTAAAGTAGTATTAGTGTTTTAAGATTTTGGGAGAATTATTGTTTTGTTGTAGTATGAATGATTGAACAAATTTTTGGGAACAGTGGGTATTTTATCTGACACTGGGCTAACAGGCTGATGATTAGCTCCTGCCTCCTTCCATGGGAAGGTAGGAGATACTAGTTTAAAGTGCTGGTCTCAAAGGGGTACCACAGTAAGTTGACCTTGATCCTCCTAGTTGACTGCGCTAACCAGTGAACTGCCCTTTTGGAACTGAGTATATATCTAAAATTGAATTAACAGACAAGAAAAATAAGGAACTTTATGCCTCTAAATGTTAGGGAAATTCTTTGCAATGAATTACTGCTTGATTTAAAATCAGAACTTCAGGTTTCCTGCAGCCCACACAATTTTCCAGATTGCTGGGCTTTTCTGGCCTCTGTATTGGTCTGTTTCCTTTCTACACCATCTTTCAGCCATAGGAACTGTTCAAGGAAAAAAGGCGCTTTTTTTCTTTATCAAAACTGGTCAATTTCTAAGAAAACTTTCTATGAACTGGCATATATGACTGAAGAACTACTTTGTTGAAAAATTCTTCAGTGGTTCTAAATTGTGGCTTAGAAATTCCTCTATTTTAAGGGCCAAGTTAATTTGCTCAGGAGAAAGAAAAAGAAAGTGAGCCTTAGGATGCCAAGGGAGGTTTTTTAAGCTATTCCAGAATGTTTAACTAAATCTTTAAGAAAACTAGAATCATAGAATCATATATTTTGATTTGCCTTCTGTATAATATAGGAAGGAAAATTGCTAATGCAAGGAGTTTTGTGTTACCATCGTATGCTGATTCAGCTGGCCATGGTGAGATAGACACCTAGAGCATTAGATCCTTTCCTTGATCATTGCTCCCTGGGATCCGTTTGCAGGACTTCTTAAAGTATAGATTTCACTGGGATCTAAATATAATTATTTTCATTTTCTCTTTATTCTAAATATACATGTATTTATTATATGTCACTCTTTTTCTGTATGATGCTATGCAAGTCACTTCTCATTGCTTCAATCCCCTGCCTGTGTCATAAGTATTGCTGTCTAACAAAGTTTCACAGTGCTAACTCCTGCAACATTTGCAAACTCTTCATGTTCTGTAGGATGTTGCTAAATATAGCCACAGATAGGTGGGGAAGGAGCAGATTTACTGGGTGAAAAGGGCATCAGACGCTCCCATTGCTAGTAACACAGAAGCATGCACTGTCAGTCACACCTATAGACCGGCCAATTAAGATGGCAGCTGTTTTGGTACAAACATATGGCCTTCTGTATCATTGGGTCTTGCTCCCTTCTGTCCCAATCTCCTGTGCTGCCCACTCCTGACTTCATTATGCTTCCTTCTGTGCTAGGTCACATTCAAGTGCTCTGTGGCAGTTGTGCAGGGGCATAGAGTATTGGAAGGAGTGCTGCTCTTTGGCATAGAACACTTCTACATCTGCGAGTGCTTTGTGTTATCCCCTCTAGAAGAAGTCTACTGTACAGGTCACTGCTTGTCCAGGTAAGTCATTCTTTCCTCCCAGAGATCTGCTTGGTTAACTTCAGTATTGGCACATGGATACCTAGAATTTCCACAGACTTCAAGATTTCCAGGGGATTTGAAGAGGGATTTTAGCAAAGCAAGAAGTTTGCTATTCTTTTCATCTGTTCACAGAATTGTTTAAAATAGCTAACACAGGTGCTTGTTCACAGGCTTTGGAGGTGCGACAAGGACTCCCAGCTCCAACAGATGGAGATGGTGGGCAGTCTAACACATACAGTGTTGTTTAAATTCTTTTAAAGTGTTGTTAATGTTTCTTTCTGACTGGCTCCCATCTTTTATTCATATGGAATAGTCATTACAAGAGCCTTCAGCTTCATTGTCTCATAAGTTTTTATTTGTTTCTCCAAGACAGAATCGTAATTAATATTTGGCACACTGCTATCATCTTTGACTCATGATTTATTGAAACTGATCAATATTAAAAATGAGTCCGTTAGACTTAGCTCGTTGTGCATACTGTGTGCTCATGTGCAAAGTCCACTGGGACAGTGAGTAACTCGGAGTTTTTACTCCCCAACTGTCTGCTCTGCATCTGATTCTTACTGAGTCCAATATCAGTCAATCTGATCAGGTGACTTAGGGATAAATTGGTCTGGGTCCGATAAAAGCTTGCATTGTTTTTCTAAAGGATTTGCTATGGGGTAGGCTGTAGATAGCAACTGCAATACATGTACACAACTACAGTAAGAATGAATTAAATGCTTAATTATTATTTCCCGTTAATTGCTGTTATTGCTGTTTATAATACCTCTGTGTCCATATGATGCTTGCCCTTGACCCAGGTTTTCAGGTTCTCCCACCCAGCTCCTTCCCTTGTTGCTCTCAGACTTCAGTGTGTGAAAAACATTGCTTTCTGCCTATTTGCATGCACTAAAATAATTCCAAACCTATCCTTTGCCTCCGCAGGCTCTTTGTTTTATTTTGGGAACTAATACAAAATCTGTCTCCAGTATTCAGCTTTGTTTTCAATTCATTTGTGCCCCAGCTGATCTGGCTATCTCTTAGTATTTTTATTCTTCTTTAGGGAGGACTTGGATGTTCATGAGGGCTGTTCTGATCTTATCTGGTTCAGATTAATTTTTCTTTCTTTATATTTTTCTCTTCCAGCATCAGTGATCCGTTTATTTTCAACTTATGTCATAAAGGTCACGCTGTGGGTAACCAGATGTGTTCCCGTTATTCGTATCATGATATAAAAGAGATCCATCTGATGCGCTTTCTTCTGCAGGTAGGAACTAACATGCTTAGTCATTTGAGGGAAAGCTGCAACAGCAGTAATGACATGTGACTGAAAACTACTTGCACAATTTTTACTAAGACTGCTGAGATTTCTTTGCTGGAGTCCCAAAATGCTTTTGCTCCCATCATTGCTTCATTAGCCTTTGGTAATACAAAATCCTTCCTATATTCACCAGAGTGTTTAAGCACTCTCACTGGAGTGGTTGGCTCACTAGTTGTTAGGCTATCAATGTTTTTCACAGCTTATCTCAATGCTTTTGAACATAAGACTTGAAGTCGATTTCCTGCATTTTGATGGAAGCTCCCAGTAAGTGTCTAACTTTCAGTAATACTCAGCTCTCACGGACTTCAGTAGTTTTGGCCACCAGTGGATTATGGGTGTGTGTAACATGCTTACCCTGGGCCTCTTGGAATAACTTTCAGGTTGTGCATCTGGGTCAATACATGAATCATAAGTTGGAGCAGAGTATTTGAATCTGATGTGCCTTTAGCTGCACTACCAGAAGCTACTCACCACCAGTGTTCTGGTACCCTTTTGTCTGGTTTAGAAAAGCCTATGATGAGAATCACAGAGGAGTTGTAGCTAGAGCTCCTTGCAGCACCAGAGCTCTAGAGGGTTTTTGGTACAGTCTAAAGAGTAATTCACAGATTTTGTTTGAAAAAAAATATGGAGTTTTGAAGTAACCATAACTAGTTACCTGTTACTTTGAATCCGTTTTTGGAAGGTTGAGATTCAACAAAGAGTTAAGAAATCCTTCCAAAAATTAAAAAGTTGGAGAAAATGGGTCTGATAATTGTCTTATGTCATGTAATATGGCACTCATCCATGACTCAGCCCTGTTTCATTTTGTATTTAATTATGTATGGAAAATGGACGACGTTAGTAGGTGAGACATATTTCAGGATATAGCATAGCTCAGTGGTTACATCACTCTCCAAGCATGTACAGGAATGTTAAGTCTTGTTCTGAGTAACTGCGTGAAGTTTATTTTCTTACATCACTGGTAAGCAACCTAAGTAACAGAACTGTCGTCTCTTCTGTTCTGTGAATAGCATAACAGAATCACAGAATCATCAAAGTTGCCTGTGGAATCTTGCTGCCTTCTCATAGATTCACATGTCTGTGTATGAATGACTTTTTTTAAACAAGTGAAATGGAAATGTTTTCTGTGACCCAAAGTGAAAACTGGAGATGAGTAAAAATAGTCTTTGAATGAGCCTGGGGCAAAGACAATGCTTGTTGGTTTCAGAGTTTTTCATGTTTTTTTGGTTATAGGGGATTTGGGGTTTTCTTTGTTTATTTTTGCTTTGTTTCAATTAATCAACTGAAAACTCAGGTATCTGTATCAGGCTCTCAAATTCTTGCACTGGGATTCCATGCCACAATCTTTGGAAAAAGTGTTGCACAAAAAGAAGAAAATGGGTTCCTTATGCTTTCCCTGTGGGACAGGTAGATCAGGTGTTTAGGCAACTACTGTGTCTCGGAGAGCTGATCTCCTGTTCGTGCGCACAGCCCAGCTCAGAGGAAAGTACTGTGAAACCACACAGCCCAATTCTGTAGTGGCGATACTTGAGCAGACTTGGTTTGGAAATCTGAGCTTCAGAGCAAATGCTGCAAGCTGTTTATTGTCATAGCTGCTCTCATATTACCTTTCTGCTTTATACTTCATCTGTGAATCATGTATGGGGCAGTTGCCATTGTGGTGTTTTTCTAGGTTTGTATTGCACCTGCCACGTTTGGATTGAAACTCATGTCTGGGTTCCCAGACACTACATGCTATGTATAGTTTTACTTGAGTGACTTTGGGGGAAAAATGACCACTCACTAAGTAAATAATAGGACTATATGCAAATGCCCAACATAACAATGTGTGGAGACATTGCGGAAAACTTTGATTATTTTAAAGCTTCAGTGAGAAATGTCATAAACTCCCCTTCCTCCTCTGCTTCTTGCAGTCAGGAGAAATAGTTTTGGCATTTCTGTTGAGCTCACTATTCATTTAGAAAGCACTACCGTTGCTTTCTAAAAGCAACTCTTATTTGGCATCACCTCTTCATGTTGCCTTTCTCACCTCATTAGAAGTTGATGCTACTAGTGTCTTGTTAATAACACTGAAATTTTAAGACAAAAATGCTTCAGAAGCAACAGGAGGAGGCAAGTGGTGGAACCAATATCTGGAGTTTGGCTTTGCTTCAGAGCAGCATTTGAACTCCTAGTGAACCCTGTAGGAACCCATTCCTACAGCTGGAGAAATTGGGAATATTAGGCATATTTTGCCACACTTCTTTACACTTGATACAAAGTCAAGGCCTTTGTTTTTTCAAAGCCCTGCAGAATTGGACAGGCCCTTACGAACTCTTTGCAGCACTAGGCTTTGTTCTGCAGCTCTTCACACTGTAAACGATTTACCTTTCCAGGAGATCGCCTTGGAAATATTCTTCAAAAATGGTTACTCCAGATTTCTTGTCTTCCATGACAGCGACCGAAATAAGATATTTAAGAGGTAATCACTACTTCACAATAACATGTGAACACCCAGGTGACACTCCTGGTCTATTGCCCCTGTTTACCCTGTCTATTGCCCCTGTTTATGCTGGCTTCAGATGTCTGTCTTGGGCTGCCCCGAGGGCTTTTTCTTCAATTGCAGTACCTTGGTCTTTAACCAGTTACACTTCAGCAAAGCTATGAAATTTTCCTTTTGCTGACCTGTGAATTCTTCAGAGCATTATATAACTATTGATTTATCTTGGGAACTAATGCATGTGTAGGACTCTTCTAGCACCCAGTGGTGTATTGTACATCCCTGCACCCCACAAAATTGCAACTGTAGCTGTATTGCTTCCTCTCACTGAGATGAGAGCCACCTTCATCTCACCTCACAGTACTGGGTGAAAAAAGGTTTCTTTCTGCATTCCTCCAACACATGAAGTGTCATTAGATTCCTTAGGAGTAAAAAATTCTTGTCTTTCTGACTCTGACTTTGTATTTTTGGTGTGGAGTTAACTTCTAACTATGGAATTTTTGTTCAGAAAATATTTCTCCATATGTGCTTATCTTGTTTGATGGAACTTGAATGTAAGACTATGAAGTGATTAATTTGCACTTTGTTTTCTTGCATTTTTTTCCTACTCCAGTTCTGGTCATTATATCAGGTTTACTTTCTCTGTCCCTTACACAGGAAAAATACTTCAATATGTAGTTCTTCTTGTGGTAAATTCTGAAGCCTGGACTGAGGATTGGTACTGTTAATTTCTAAACAATCATAACAATTTCTTCTGCTCCTGAAATCTCTGAGCAGTTTCTAGTGGAGTATTGCTTTAAAAGTCAATGCAGACTTCTCTGTTCTTCCTTTCTAAACTGGATGCATAGCATGGCTACTTAGAATCAACAGGTTCTGCTCCAGAGCCAGATGCTTTGTTTAGCCCTCATCTTTGCTGTCCCTCAGCTCAGCTCTCGGGGGAATCTTGCAGAAGCCGTTCAAGATAATGTTTGGATCCTCAGATACCTGTATTGCCCCTCAGCTAAAGGTCACCAAACCTATTTATTTCAAGGGTTTAATATGTCTGATATCATAAACCCCCAGTGGAAGTAAATAGGAATGGCTGCGATATGGGTTGGTATTTCTTTCTGCCATTTTTACTAGATAAATGTCTGAGTGGGTTCTCATTCTCTGGCTTTTATTAACAGTACCTTAAACCACCTGATCATAAGTCCACAGTCTTATATATTAATTCAAGGCCCTATTTGGGAAAAAACCTGGTTTTATCTAGACAATAGGCAACTTCTTAACATTAAATGTATGGTTTTGCTGTGTTGTCTTGCAGCTTTGTTCTGTGTCAGAGTGTCAGTGAAATGCTGTGTCACCTTTCAGGAAGCAAGTTGCTGTCAGGACACGACATAGATTATATACGTATGTAATGTATACAGATAGCCATTGAAATAATTGTAATGTGACCTTTCATATCTCCTATAGGTTTTGCTCTTTCCAACCTGCTTTGAAGTCGAAGGGGATAACAGAAGAGTCCCTGAATATAAGGTAAAACATATGAAACATTGGATAACTGTGGATAACAAGTGCAATTGTATGAATTAATTGCACTGTAAAAAGAGCATCTATTGTGCCTCCTATTTTAAAGATTCAAAAGTGTCCCCAGAACTTCAAAAAGCATTCTAGTGTACAGAATCCACAGTATGAAGACATGAAGAATGTGTTGAGTAGTTCACTGTACACAGTTGATTAATATTTATTGTCTCCTTAATATGACTTTATTGGTAAACCCTACACAGATAGTTAGTGTAGGAAAGAGACAGCGAGGTGGGGTCAGAGCTAATCCATAATTCTTCTGCGTAATGGCCTCTTCATTCCGTGCTTAGGGCAGACAGTGATATATGTACAAATGGATGTTTTGGCATATTATAGTGGTGCTGATTGTGTCATGCAAGTTAGAGATCACTGCACCCAGGTATAGCAATGAAAATCCCAGATAACTTGCTTATGCAAAGTCTAGTGCCTTACAGTATAAGCTGAAATAAAATAGATACAGCATAGTGCCACTGCCTAAGTAATGATCTCAGAAGAGTCGTGCTTAAGTGGAAAGCTAGAGAAAATTACCCCAGTGGGCATGCTTCCCTTTACCAAGCTCCAGTCTGGGAACTGAAGGACTGGAGACTTGATGAGTTTACTTTTCCCTTCTTTGAATGCTGGAGCCACTTCTGAGTTAGAAGAATTCAACAGCAGTACAAGGGGCTCCTTCCCCATCTGGAGAGCAATGGCCATCTTCCATACTGTCACAGCTCTTCCTGCCCTACCTGAGACAGGGAGGCAGGCCAGACTAAGGTCTTTGCCCAGACAGACACACTATTAATAATTACACAGCTGAAGCATGGAAAGAACAGGAATCATAGGAAAACATTTGACTGTTTAGGGAAAGAGGAAAAGTGGGCTGCAATCCTTTGAAATTCCACTGTCATTGCATATGAATTCATCCCAGTGAATGACACCACCCGGAATGTTTTGCAGGCAAGGAGTTCCCAGTACTGAGGCTAAGCTGACTAACAGGAATGGAGCAGTTCATAGTGCTTTCTTAGTCCTGAGTCTCACCAAAATACAAGCAGATTCTTGTGTAGGGCACACTGCAAGCATGAACATCAGTGACAAAAAAAAAATTCCCTGCTCATGGCAGGGAGGTTGGAAATAGATGATCTTTAAGGTCCCTTCCAACCCTTACCATTCTATGATTCTATGAAAAAAGAAGTTACTAATGTGATCTATGATAAGACGTTGAAGTAGTAGCATTTTTGGGAAACCCTGTATCAGTTTTTGCATAGTCCATAGGAATGATACACAGGAGTTCTGAATCCCATGCTCTGCTGTAGCCATTTAAAAAATGATAACGGGCTGTTACTGGACAACTGAGTACTTTGCTGCTGGCACTTCATTGTTCATTTAAATATACATAAATATTTGCTGCCATCATATGTTACTACGGCCACAGCTGGCATCTCTTCTCATGTCGTGCTTGACTGCTTTTATAATCTGCTCATTGCTTGTACCTGTATATTGCTGTTTGCAGGCTGCCAGCACTCTCTACCCTAGGGATGAGATTTAAGCAAGTGAATGCATGTGCTCAGGTGCACACATGCATGCACACAGGTGAACAGAAAGCTAAAAGTACTGTGGGGACACCAGATCTGATTTCATCCATTCACGAGCTGACACCAAACACCAAAAGCTGAAACATGGAGAACATGTTGTAGGAATGGGCCCAGTTGCTAGCGAATGATCCTTCTTTTCCCAAATATACATCTGTTTTAGTTGTTTTGGTTTTCATTATAGAAACCACACAGATCTGCTGCTTCTAAAACTGAGTAGATCTGTAAAGGAAGAGAACTGCAGGAAAATGGAGGAAGAAGGAGGACAACTTTTTATTAGCTTGGGCTGGACGTCATGAGACATGGTCTGTGGAGTGTCTTGGTAGATTTCAGGGATGTCTGCCTCTTAATCTCCATTCTTCTTCATTATCCTTTGCAGAGGAATTGGGTGTAAGGAGCAAAGGGAAACTTGGCTTCTTTGAGGGGCTGGATGTCATGTTCTTTAACTTGCTCAGCTTGTCCCTCGCATCCTGACATATCTTCAGGCAGGAACAGCACAGGTCTTTCTCTGGTACTGTTTCCATGCATTTGATGGAGTCGGCATGCTCTTCTCGCTTTGTTGAATCTGGGAAAGGGTTTCTTTTTGCATTCAGTTTCATGAGCTTGGGGAGCTTTTTCACACTGTTTGGGATAGTGGTCAAGGCATTATCAAAGAGACCTAGCTCACTAAGTTCTTTCAGGGCCCCGAGGCTGGTGGGAATACTGTCAAGACAATTCAAGCCAAGGTTGAGAATACGCAGATTCTTGAGAAGGTTCAATTCTTCTGGCAGATTTTTGGTGGTTAGCTTGTTGTTGCATATATTCAGGTAGAAAATGTTCTGAAGTGTACCTATCGCCTCGGGCAGCTCCTTGAGCTGATTACTATGCAGGTCCAGCCAGCGCAGTTTCTGTAACTTCTGGATGCTGCTTGGAATCTTTTTTAACATGTTTCTGCGCAAATCAAGTTCATCCACATCAGCCAGTTTCAGAATGCACTTGGGGAAGGTGGTGATACGCATCTTACTTAAATCAAGACGGCGCCCTCCATCTAAACATATCCGGATGGAATTTTTGGCAGTTTTCAAGGTAATCTTCTTCCCTTTTGAACCTTTTGCTTTCCCCTTGGCCATCTCTCCACTGAGAGACAGACAGATGCACTAGATTCTGTGGATGAAGTGTAGGAACTCCAGTAAAACCTTTGAAAGCAGTGGCTGTTACACTCTAATTAAAAACAAAAAATCACTTAGGTATAAATTAACATGTGACTGCTGGACTCTCGAGAAATCTCTTTTTTTAAGGTCAGGGCTTTTCTACCCTGGAGATGTGACCCTGGATGTTCTTTCTGAAATTATTTTGAGTAGGTGAAATTCTAATAATTTACAGTATTATTTTATTGTATTGTAACACCTATAAAGCATTACAGGGTGAAATTACAAGTGGGAGAAATTCATTGTCTTTCATCCCTAGATACTGATTTGAGCTCAGCATGTAACAAAACTGAATGAAACGTGTTATTATCCACCAGCCGTTTAAGGACCTAAGCAGAAAGTATTGTGGGTCTCAATCCAATCTTTAGGGGCTGCACTAAAAGAAGTTGTCCAAAATTGTATGTACCCTATCAGACTTCTTTACAGGCCGGGTACCTGTTGACAGGTTGGTTAAACATCCTGTTTAATGACCTGAGATTTGGGCTCTTAACACCATTGAAAGATTAAATATTTAAAGGAAATTACTGAGTCTTGTTTTAACCAGGACCTCAGGAACACAGTGGGCTCCCAGATTTCCCAGGACTGCTTACAGTTCACACATCACCTTCAGGGCAGACTGCAACAGGGGGTCTGTGTCAGTGCTGCTCAATGACACGTTAAACCAGGCCTTGGTAAGTGTCTCCTGTGCTTTCAAGGACAGACTCTGGATACTCTAACCTTGTCTTTCCGTCCGTGCTGTGGGATAGATGGAGTCCCACTGCAAAGGTGCCCTACCCTCAAAACATGTGTGTAGGTGTTCTGGTCAGACTTTTAACTCATACTGATGCTCAGCATGTGCTATGTGCCTGTATGAGTAGTAGCCCACTGCAGTCTCAGGTTTGGTGAACAATGTCTCTAATCAAAGGCCGTTAAATATGGCTGCTAATTATGGCTAGTGACAAAGGAAATAGGCTGATTCTCTGGAAATGGATGACAATGTCCCTCTCAGCCAGAGTGCAGAGAGGAGCATCTCAGGATAGTCTGGGTGCTCTGGCATTTAATTGTGAAGGGTCAAATTGCAGCTTTGATGAATGATTGTTTGGGATAAAATATGGATTTGTCTACAATACATTTCCCTATTAGAAAGGCTTCATTACAAACCCTCCAGGCTTTTTGGCTACTCATTAATCATGTGAAAATACATGAAGGGGAAGCACAGCCTACAACTAAGGCATTTCAGCTCTTTTTCAATTACATGCCATAGCCAAGAATAATGCAAAAGCAAGAGGGTTCTCTGTCAGTTACCACCCACCCTCCTGGGAGTTCTGTAACGAGGCAGAGGCTTCAGAAAATCCTGGAAGCAGCACAGTGGGGTCAGTCTTGCCCTGAGGATATGTTCCAAAATTGGATCTTTGTTATTTTATGTAAAAAAATTTAAACACAGTTAAATCTTTCTGTGTACGTCACTCCCATGTTTCTGTCTCTCACTAGTACTTACAGGGTCACATTACCATTATATCTGAAGGCCTCTCAATCTTTGCTATTTAACCTTACGGTGCCCCAGGGGCAAAATCAATGCTATTCTTTTCATAGTGTAGACTGGTAACTGAAGCAAAATACAGTGGAAAACTAAGCACTTTTTTCACCTTCGTTGAAGTTAGCTTAAATAAGTTGCCCAGGAGTGGGTAGGAAGTTCTGGAGATCAAAACAATAGTGTTTTTTAATCTCTGTTCACTCATTTTAACATTCTGATGCAATATTCTTGTTGTCAGTTCTGTGAAGATAAAGTTCAGCTGCATGGAAAATGCCAGAGCCCTACTGCTGATACAGGACACCTTAAGTCCCCTAGTGGTGCATAGAGGGTGACTACCAGGCTTCAGAAAAAGATCTGCAGGGCAGCTTCCTTACACTTTGGCGGGATGAAAGGAGACTTTCTGTTTCCTTTTATGTGAACCTGATGACCTTTGGGTCTAATTTTCTTTTTGTTTGAATTTTTTGTCAGATAGGTTAACAAAAACATTCAGTGCATTTTGATCTGTGAAATTTTTCAGCCAAGTATGCATTTTAAAAGAATGAAAGGGAACCTCAAGGAAAAATAAATATTTTTTTCTAAATTCAAAATGATAATTGCTTTTAAAATGCTTTTTAAGACTCTCGGAAAGAAAACATTTTGTTCAGTCCCTAGTAATTATTTTCTATTACTTTTCATTTAAAATCCAAGGAGGGAACATTGATCCAACACAGTTTTCTCCCTTAAAAATACCAGCTAACCAAAAATCAGGCTAGTTCTGCAGTTTCCTGGTGATGCTGGTTCCCAGTGCCAGTGTCCCTTGGTGCTCCATGTGCCCAGGAGCAGTAGTGGGAGCCCAATGTAGGGGGCTGAGCACTGGAGTCTTGTCAGGAGCAACAGTACAGTTCAACCTACCAGGTTTGGGCACTTCTGTTGTCAATAACCCTTGTCAACTTGTAAAGTTTGAACCTGGACCTTTTGGATTTTTAAGAAGTCCAGACAAACAGATCTGCATAATTTTCCTGAAGACAGATCTCTGTGTATGATGCACTTGGAACCAGATTATCTTTAAGGTCTCTTCCAGCCCTTACCATTCTATGATTCAACCACCTCCTTTAGTCAGATTTTTTAAAATCGTACTGTGGGCCTCTAAGATGCACTTCTCAGGAAAACATGAGACCCTACGGCGTGCTCATGCTTACCAAGTGCTCTTTCCTTTGGGTTAAAAGTTGAAGGCACATTTCAAACTTACAAAAAAGGTGGTTTGCAAACCCAAAGATAGGCATTTGTATTAGAGTTCTGCAGAAACACTGCAGGGAACCAGGCAACCTGAAGGGGATTAATTGCTCTCTTTCTGCATACTTGTTAACTAATTATCAGTGTTTCACAGAGCTGAATCTGGAGATAATGGAGCTTACTTAGCCATGTCTCATTTTCTTTAGCTCTGCGT